TATCTTTTCCTTTGCCTGGGTCAGCAAAACACCACTGTCCAGAGAGTTGAATGTATTCTTTACATCTACCTTTAGCAACACTTCGCTTAAGCCTTGCTTGAGAAAGGTGCGCGCATCGTGAACAGCAGCCTCACACCCCCCCCCCCCTAGGTTCCAAAACCTAACTGCGTTGGCTGAAATTCCTGCTGCAAATCTAGTAAGATGTGCCTACAGCAGATTTTGGAAGCCACACGACGAATTGTATTGCCTACGGCAATTGGACAGATGCCACCATCCATTTTCCGAAGCGCGCAAAGGTTGGCCCCATATAACACGTCAATTATGTCATTACATACCTTCCCAGAGAACATAAGATTCACGAGGCGGGTCAAATCCTCCAGAAGTGCAGTGCCGACATCACCAAGAACACCACAAATCAGATCTTTAAGGTGTTGTAGTGACATACCGTCTAAACCGCTGGCAGAACCCCTCCCGAAAGACATAATCGCGGTTCGTATATCCTCTGGTGTAGCCTTCAGGGTACGCTCAGAAGGCTCGGGGGCATCGGGTAAGTGAGCTGTTGCTAAAGGCTGCGGATGTTTAGACAACAAGACAGCGTAGGTCTCTGGTGAGTTGGGAGCAACGACGTCACTAGAAAATAAAAGGTCAGCAGTACCTTTAATGTCTCCCTCATCAAATTTTGATTCAATTCTTTTTGTAATTTTGTACGATATTTGTTTTTCCTAAATATTATCTAAAGTAAGCCTAAAGTTGGGGGAACAGTTATTTTTTATTTTTTGTGCAAGGGAACTGCCGTTTTTGTCTTGGCTAACATGTAGCGTTTTATACGCAAATGTCAGAAAATTTTCCCAGCTATGTTTATTGTTCCTTTCGACGACATCTCTGACGCAGGAAGACAAAGAGGTCGCCATACACCGTCTAGCTCCGCGAGGGATTCTTTTTACCAAAGAGAGGCTTCTCTTCAAGTTGTTTAATTTTTGCCAAAAGGGGCCCTCGGTGGGGGCTTCATTGACAGTTATATTAAGAAAATTCTCATTGCTACTTACATGCGGTTGCCGGCCTTTATGACACCTACTTTTGTGTATGTTCAAACCTCTTTGTCTTTTGAAAAAACGCGGCTGGGAGCATTCTCTGCATTGCACGGATTCCTGTGACGTGGTTGCACCGGACTGACTTGCGGATTTCGAACCCGGGACCTCTCGAGTCGGCGACACCATGAAACCCGGCGTACAAACCACTCGGCCACGGCGGTCGTCAGAACTATAAATACAACTAAAAAATTAAAAAGATTTATATAAAATACTGTCCTTTATATTATTCAACAAAAAAGAGTTACCTATAATGATAAAGATTCCACACGTTAACTCAACACATAGCGGATGCATGTCACACATGACAGTAATGATATGTTACTATGTTGATATACTAGCCCTACAATGATTTCTAAGAAAAACCATTAAAGTAATTGATGCCTAAAAATATAATGTGTTATTATAGGTGTACGTGCTGGTAAGTATTTGTATGTAAATATACCTTTTTTTTTATAGATAGGTCCGACAAATAACTCCACCCCGCCTGATGTTAAGTGAAAGTGAAGTCCAGACGCGAAGCATGTTGATGAGTTGATCCAGCCTTAAGAATATTTTGGGGAAAATATGCGAACAACAAACGGTACCCTTACATTGCCGCTCTGTTTCTTCACAATGAAACAAACGAAAATATGTATTAATGCACATGCACAATTTTAAAGCCAACGTGGACTCTAACTGACACTGTGTTAGGGAGAACAACAAATTTACAATCGGATATGGCCCCAATTTCCCATGCGGTGACTTCTCTTACAGCAATGTCACTGATATACGAATTCATCCATCTTATTTGTACAGCGCATCGTTTCATTCTCTCAAGATTATCAAAAATAATATTGCGCTTCTACAAACAACGCCGATAGTTCTGGAGCAGTACGGCAGACTCAGTGCTCTAGACTCTGCCACGCTAGTTGGTCGTGCTGCACGTGTGTTTGGTTTCGGGATTATGAATGATAGTGATAGAGTAGGTCATGTCGCCAAACTGGGCACTGTGTTACCAGTTGCGGACGTGTTTTTTTTTTTTTTTTTTACTTTTTGACAAAGATTCACCAACAACATATAATTTTACATTACATTTTGAAAAAATATATAAATACTATACCTAAACATATGCTTTTTAATAGGTGAATACAACATTCACATAAATACAAATAAACTACAATGACAGATTAAACAAACAAAAAATATATCCACCATCATGAAAAACAGGTATACTGAATTATAATATTATTTAGTCTGTGTTACGGTCTAATTTTATTTTTTCCACAAACAACCTCTTGTATACGCGCTCAGTATTGTGGAAAACGTCGACACTGTAGTCTTGTAAATCATTGTAGGTACGCATACACCGGTATAGAGGAGCACACTCACCAAGTCTAGTATTGTTACGAGGGAGATCAAAGCTTTTGACATCGGATGTCTAGGTATTCGATAAGGGACTTTAATATTCACCTGTTTAATTAGATTTGGACAAATCAATTTTCCATTGATAAGCTTATGAAGTGTCATAAGATCAGATAGTCTGCGTCGGTCAGCCAATGGCGTCATTTTGAAGTAAAGGAGACGAGTATTGTAATCAGCATCACGTGGAAAATCGGGACTACGATAAGCTAGGTAACGGGTAAATTTTCTCTGAATGCGTTCTATCCTATGGGAATGCACTTTATAGATGGGGTTTCATATGTTTGAAGCATACCCCAACTTACTGCGAACGAGAGCATTGAATATGGTTTTAAGGGTATCAATGTTTTTAAAATCCTTGCTGACACGTTTTACCAAACCGAGCATTTTCCAAGACTGTGTTACAGTACTATCAATATGATCTACGACGATACGACGATCTACGACGATCTGGACGATTCTTTTAATCTATGGTCAGAAACACTATAATAAGATGCAAAGGGAGTCTCTTTTCTTGTAAATTTTACATGAGTATATTTTTGCGGATTGAGTTTCATCTTGTTAGCATTACATCACCCAACCACCGCATCGATATCCCTCTGCAACAGGTAAGAGTCTTCCTGATTGTTTACAACTCTGTATAGTTTTAAGTCGTCAGCAAAAATCGAAAATTTGCTATATTTGATAGAAACAGATATATCATTAATAAACGCCAAGAAAAGCATCGGTCTGAGGTGGGAGCCTTGAGGCACACCTAAAATTGAGACATAATCATCTGATTTATATCTATGTACCGTTACGCTTTGGATTCTGTCTCTTAAGTACGAACTTATCCACCGCAAAAGGTCACCATGTATACCGTAAGCTTTCAGTTTTGATAGAAGAATCCCATGGTCTACTTTGTCAAATGCACTGGAAAGATTGGTGTATACAGAATCTACCTGCAAACGACCATCAACTGACTTAATTAGTTCCGTTGTATAATCCATCAAATTACTGACAGTCGATTTACTACTACAAAATCCATGTTGAGAATCTGTTATAAAGGTTTTTAAATAATTTGTTAGAGTGGAATAAATAATACGTTCAAATACTTTCGCAAATTGACTTATGATTGACACGGGTCGGTAAATAGTTACATCCTCTTTATTGCCTTTTTTGAATATTGGTATAACATGAGAACGCTTCCACTCAGAGGGAAATATACCTGATGTGAGAGATTTTTCAAAAATAAGTTTACGAGGAAGAAAACTTTGAAGTTCTCTTGATAAATAGGGGGGGAATCCCATCTGGCCCGGCTCCCTTACTAGCATCAATAGATTTAAGAACATTGTAAACCTGCTGTTCGGTTACTTCTACACTATTAAGAACGTTTTGAGGATATTGATCACCAAGATCAACAAACTCAGAATTATCTAGCAAGGAAAACACTGATGAGAAGTGTGCCGCAAAAAGATTACATATTTCCACACCATTGTCTGCAATTTTATCTCCCAAGTACATCTGTTCAGGAACACCATCATAATAACCCTTAGTATGACGTACAAAAGACCAGCATCTCTTGGGGGCGTGCTTTATTGACATTTCTATATCCTTGACGTACTCTGTATAGCATGTCGACATAAGAGACTTTACGCGGTGACTGCAAAGTCGCAGCTCCAAACGATCCCTAGGGTTTTTATAAGTTTTATACTTTATACGTATTTTATGTTTCTCTCTTATCATTCTTATTAAACTACGAGTAAACCAGACCGGGTACTTAAGATTCCGTGCATGTGTCTTGGGTATACTTTCTTCGATGGTTTGTCGAATGATGGCATAAAACCTAGTTACTGCAGCGTCGATATCCTGCACTTGACCCAATTCTGATAGCCAGTGAATCAGCTTTTTTGAAGTTGTATGATGCAAACATTTTACTTTTTAAGAAATGGTGAGACTGTAAAGTTACATTGATACTTATTTCTAAGGCTGGATGATGTCTATCAAGCCTACTGAGTGGACATTGACATTCTGTAACACTCAAATTATTAAAATTACCCAAAACCAAATCGAGAGTCTTGTTATTATAGTTTTTCACATTGTTAAACTGAAATAAATTGTTTAGAGACAAAAAATCAATTAATTGATATCCTAAGTTAAAAGAATAGTTAGAAGGAACCAAGACACTATTTCTTGTATTATCATTACCCCGATTTATAAAACTTAAATTAAAATCGCCTAAGATAACAGTATAACCGGGACATGATTGCATTACAATGCTACAATTATCGAGAAAGACATCCATTACATTAGCCGTTACGGGAGGCGGTAAGTAGACTGCACAAAATATATAATTTACAAGTTGGTTATTTATTTTAGCTTTGGCGGAAACCCACAAATCCTCTAAAGTACTCTCAAAGTGGTCTATTCGTTGAGAACTATGGGATTTCGAAACGGCTATAAGGACACCTCCACCACGTTTACCAGCTAAGCATGTTGAATTATGGTCATGTCTATAAACATGATAGTTCGCTCCAAAAAATTCATTATCGTGTATCGTATCATCCAACCATGTCTCGGTTCCAACAATAATGTCATAGTTATCAAGAAAAGAAGACTATTTGATATCATTGGTCTTAGTCTTCATACCTCTAAAATTTTGATACTAAAGATTGAATTTTTTAACTTAATTACGGTCAGAAAGCAATAAAAAACAAACAGAAAATAAATATAAACCAGCTAAAGAGTCGTAGTTCTTGATAAATTTAGCAGGAGCCTTATCATCCTTCCGTACGAATATTCTTCCGTTGCGTATCCAAACAAATTTGTAATTCTTTTCATGTGCTATTCTTCTTGTTGTTGCATGCAACGCCTAATTATATGGGGAAAGATGTTCAGATACGTAGACTGGTGACCTTTTACCACCATATCCCAATGATGAAGTGTTAAGTTTGTCATCTTGATTATTTTTATTAAATTTTGACACAGCAGCCAATATTTCATCTCGCTTCCTGGTGGTTTGTAGTTTTACTACAATTGATCGGGGTCTATCATTATCTTCGTTCATCTTTCTGACTCTGGTAGTGGTGAGAACATCTGTTTCTGGCTATGGAACAGAAACTACAGAGCACAATTGACTGACAATCGTCAGCAAATTTTCAGTTTTGCTTTCAGGAACGCCATTGATCCCGATATTCGTTTCACGAGAATACTGTTCAATGAGATTCAGTCTACTTGTAAGATTGTCCACTGTTCTCGTCAGAGATGCATTTTCTTTATTTATCAAGTTCACCTTCTCTTCAGAGGCCTTCAAATCAGACTTTACGCGGTCATATTCGGCACTAAGGAACTCCTCACTGCTTTGCAAATCCCGCAAAGCGGCGAATTCCTTTTTGATTTCATTGAATTCCTTTGTTAAGTACCTCCTTCCAACAAAGTATCGTCAACTGGTAATGGTGATGTAACAGAGGGCGGTGACATGTTGGCTGGTTTGTTGATTGGCAATTTTCTAATAGCTATGTTGCTCTCGTCAGAAGACTTATCAGACGAGCCAGGATTTGCTTGCAAACGATAGCCCTGAGCAGGAGTGTTGGTACGGTCGACCTTTCTTTCTTTGCTCTTGCAAGCCGGTCACTGCCAATTATATTTTTTTTCTTTACTCATAAGGGTGAATAATTTGTAGGAATAATTGACGCATTCAATATCGTACACTTCATCACAAATACTGCACTTTAAAAATTCCCAGTTAGTCTTTTTCGTACAACCTGCGCAAATCATATTTTTAGTAGGCGGCATGCTAGCGATACAGTGCGAAGCGAAAAAGCCCTCCAAAAGCAAAGCAAATAAGCAAGATCAAGATCGGTAGAAATTTTAAAAAATAGTGGCTCTAAGTGTGTCGACGATTCTCCCAAAAACGGCTAAGATGTTTGTATGTGGCAACACAAAGCAGATATCACTTTCGAATTTGAGACTGTCAATTGAATTTGGCAATTGAGATGTTAGTAATATGAAGGTACTTGCAGCTACGATGTGACGCTTCTCAATAATGCAAATTTGAGGGTATAAAATTCTCACTTATCTTTTTATGATTGTCCCATTTGTAGCTGGACAATATTGTGGATAACAATTATGCAGGGCACTTTGGGATCACACTTCACCGCTAAGTAATTTTTTCAGTCAAATTCTGGTTATTTTGTATAAAACTTTTAACTCCAAAATACGCACTGTATACATGTAGTTTTTTATTATTAAGAAGTGCCCTACATTTGGTAATCTGTGCCTTAGTCCAAAATGTAGGGAAATAACCACTTTGTGTCCTGGAGATTCTGGGAGTCCAGTTATACACCAGTCCAGTGTTGTAGGTGTTAATAGTTATGGAGCCTGGAATTTGTGTAATCCAAAACATAATATAAACAAGTTACTCATAGTGGATTCCATAATAGGTGTTATTCCTGTTTGCCGTTATATTGATTTGTTGGCGAATCGACGTTTCAACGCGATTCGGAACGAACGGTGACATCTTGCGGCCACGTACTACAATGACTACGTGACACGGTTGACAGGAGGGAACGCTATATAAGTCGGTAACCCGCCGATTTGGGGGTAGTTCGTTTTTGACTTTACTCCGTGGATTATAAGCAGTCGTTCAGAACGTTACTATGTTCATTTAATTTTGAATACGTTTTATATTGGAATTAGTGTAACAAATCTTTGATTGTAAATTGTCATTTATTAGTGTATTAAAAATAAGGAATTCGATTAGTTCGCAAGTGTTTATTTCAGCTTTTATCAGAAGTGGTATAAGAAACAAAACCACATCCAGATGGGGATTCGTAGCAAACGTTCTAAACATAAAAGGAATTGCTCAAGTTCCTCATCTAGCAGTTCTAGTAGCAGCAGGACGCCGTCACCTCCACGTAAGCAAAGAAAAAAGTTATCACGTAAAGCTGGTAACCTGACTGTAAGTACAAATAATAGTTTAATATTGAGTTCGACCCTTTAAAAGACGATGTGAATGCCTGGCTAAATATTATCGAATCATGCTCTCGAACTTTTACATGGTCCGATTAAGTAATCCGTTATCAGGCATTAAACAAACTGAAAGGTTCCACAAAAACATGGTATGATTCGTTATTGCGCACTGAAAAAGAGTGGCCATCTTGGCAATGGATAGATTGGAAAAGTAGATTATCATCCTCTTTTCGAATTCGTAGGAATATGTTCGAACTATTAAAAGAAATTATTAATAAGAAACCTTCAGAAAATCAATCGCTTTATGAATATTACTTTGAACAAAAGTGTAAAATTGACCGGTTATCATTAAGTTTTACAGAACAGGATGTAATTTCTATTATCGTTGGGAATATAGGTGATATTGGTATAGGGGCATCAATAGAGGCAAATAATTTTACGACTTGTGATAGCATAGCCACCTTCTTGCATGGCCGTACGTACAAATCAAAAAACATAAAGCAGTCAACTACGTTAAGCGACAGCCAGACCAAGCATTCCGTTTGTACCTACATTAACAACCAGCGTAACTAGTATTCCAAACCAAACTGCCCAGCCTACTGATTCTCAAATTAGCAATCAAACGATACAAGTACAACGTAAACCGATAAAATGTTATAGTTGTGGCGGCAATCATAAACGTAATATGTGTGATAAAAATAAATGTGATTTTTGTGGGAAATGGGGACACTCAGAAGCCGTGTGTTTCCACAAAAAGAACTTAAAACTTGAAACACACGAAGCTAAATTCATTTCTACCTTCGATTCACGTAGTAAATTTTTGTAAAAAGTATAAAACTTAACGAATTAAGTCATGAAGCTTTTATTGACACTGGTAGCAGTTGTTCATTAATATCAGAAAGACTAGTAAAAATAAATTCTTTTAAGACTATCTCTTTATTGTCTCCTATTTTGTTACAAGGTTTTACTAAAGGTAATTCTAAATTTGTTGATAAAAAAATTACCGTTGATTTGAAATTAGACACTGTATGCTTGTCACAGACTGACTTCTACATAATTGATGACCTTGTTGATTGTGACATTTTGATTGGGAGAAATGTGACTGAGCGTACCGATATAATATATTCGCGAGTAGGGAATATATTTAGTTTCGATTATGCTGGCAAGTATGTCGAATCTTGTAATAGTATTAACGAGGTTGAGCTGGATACAAATTCACACCTTAGCGACTTAAAAGCTCTTTTTGACGTTTATAGAGATTGTGTAGCACTTAGCATAAACGAGTTAGGGAAAATATCTAATCATGAAATGCAGATTAACCTCAACAGTTCACAGCCGATTCAATGCAGACCTTTTAGGGCTTCTGTGACTGACAGACAACTAATTCGTGACATGGTAAATGAACTTTTAGAAAATAATATAATACGTGACAGCAAATCGCCCTAAGCGAGTCCAGCTCTACTTGTAACTAAAAAAAATGGCGAGAAAAGACTCTGTATTGACTATCGCTTACTAAACAAAGTGACTATCAAAGATAAATACCCTATGCCAACGATTGAAGATCTGGTAGATAGGTTATCCGGGCGAAAGTGCTTTACTAGTCTAGACTTAAAAAGTGGCTATTATCAGATATTAATGAATAAAGATTCCATAGAGAAAACAGCGTTTATAACGGAGGACGGCCATTACGAGTTTTTAAGACTCCCGTTTGGTTTGGCTAATGCACCATCATGTTTCCAGTATATGATGAACAAGGTATTGGGTAACTTGAGGTTTAAAGATGTAATAGTATATTTAGATGACGTATATTTAGTTACAGAGACAGTAGAAGAAAATAGGAAACTTTTGGAAAAAGATTTACAACTTGTTAGGGAGAACGGTTTAACTTTAAACTTAAAAAAATGACATTTCTTTAAAACTAAAATAGAATTTTTAGGGTATCGAGTAAAACCAGGGTGCATAATGCCAAACTAACGGAAAGTAGAATCTGTGCAAAGCTTTCCTAGGCCCAAAACTGTACACCAACTTCGGCAATTTCTCGGTTTAATCAGTTACTTTAAAAAAAAAATTAAAAACTGCGCGATGATCTCTGCACTTTTAACAAAACTGTTAAAGAAGGATGCAGTCTGGACTTGGGAAAGCATTCACGAACAGACCTTTCAAAGCTTAAGAGACAAATTAACGTCAAACAGCGTTTTGGCTATTTTCGACGCTAACAAATCAAGTATTCTGTACACTGATGCCAGTCGCGAAGGTATTGCAGGCATATTGATGCAAGTCACCGATGAAGGGGAAAAACCCGTACATTACTATAGTAGACAAACTACTCCAGATGAAAAGATGTATCATTCATTTGAACTTAAATTATTGGCAGTCATCAGTTCTCTCCAAAAATTCCGTCTATATTTATTAGGTTCTCATTTTCAAATCGTGACAGATTGTAGCGCAGTACGATATGCACCAACTAAAAGGGAAATTGTCCCTCAAATCGCACGGTGGGTCTTAGCTACTCAAGAATTCTCTTTTGAAATTATTCATCGGGAAGGGACCCGAATGGCTCACGTGGACGCTCAGAGTCGAAACCCCGTGGTGACAGGTGAGAAGACTGAGATAGAAATAATTATGTCTATAACCGAAGCTGATTGGTTACTGGGGGTACAAATGCATGATCCAGGTATTCAACATATAAGGTTAATTCTCGAATCGGGTGATATCGATAATAAAAAAGATACTTTTAATAAATACGAACTACTAGGAGGTAAAGTTTACAGAAGAACGTCTCAAGGTTGTCGATGGGTAGTACCAAAAAAATGCATTTGGCAAATAATTAAATGTAACCATGACGACGTTGGACATTTTTCTGTTGATAAAACAATTGAAAGGATAGGAAATCGATATTGGTTTTCACGTATGCGTCATATTGTGAAAAAATATATTAAAAATTAAACTGCGTATATTATAAAAATAAGGGAGGTACTAAAGAAGGTGAACTATATCCGTTACCAAAACATGCTCAACCTTTCCATACACTTCACCTTGACCACTTAGACCTGTTCGTTGAAACCAAAAATAAGAACAAATATCTATTAGTTATGGTAGATGCATTCACAAAATTTGTTTTCATATTGCCAATTAGCTCTACAAAAATTCTTGCACTATAAAAGAATTAGAAATCGTATCAAAAACATTCGGAAATCCTAAGAGGTTAATCACTGACGCCGGCACAGCATTTACGTCTAAAGAATTTTCACAATGTTGTACTGATAGAAATATACGGCTCCACACAGTAGCGACAGGTATGCCTCGGTCAAACGGACAGGTAGAAAGGTTTAATCGAACCATATTAGATGCACTTAAAGCCGTTGGGGCTAATACAACAGACGATAATTGGGATCGATGCATAAAGATATTACAGCAAGGGTTAAATAGTACCATACATAAATCGACAAAGGCGGTCCCTAGCGAAGTTTTCTTTGG